ACAACTCGACTTAAGGAAGCCACAGAATTCACAGCTGAAGATTACTCTCTGATAATTGTTACAAATTTTGAGGCTTCTTATCATTTGTGTCAACTTGCACACCCATTTCTCAAGGCATCAGGTTGTGGAAGCATTGTGTTTATTTCTTCTGTGGGTGGACTTATGGCAGTTCCTGCTGCTGCTTTGTATGCAGCATCTAAAGGTAGCAGCAAACAATTGTAGTATGAATCAAAATTTCACCACTGCCAACTGATTTTAGTGTTCATCTTTTGTGTAGGAGCAATGAATCAGGTAACAAAGAACTTGGCATGCGAATGGGCAAAGGATAACATCCGCGTTAATGCAGTCGCGCCATGGATAATCGAAACATCCTTGATCCAAGCCATAGCTGTAAGTGCATATATATTGTGTACATTAGCATCACATTTTGCCGTTTCTGTTTTATGTTCTCAATAGTTCGGTTTGTTGCAGCCAAGACCTGATCAGAAGCAACTTATGGAAGGCTTAATCGCTCGAACTCCTCTGCACCGCCCTGGACAGCCTAGTGAAGTTTCTTCCTTGGTGGCATTCCTATGTTTCCCTGCTGCTTCTTTTATCACTGGACAAGTTATCTATGTAGATGGTGGAGCCACAGTGAATGCTTTTCCATAACAATGTTGTATAATTTAACGAACTTTTAGCATATGACAATGTTTCTAGTTTTCCTGTAAAAAATAAGATGGCTAAAAATGTTACATTGGATCCATGATTACAAAATATATAGCATATAAAGCGCATCAGCAATTTTCATTGTTAGCAAATGCTAGTTAGTCCAATAAAAATATTGACAGGTGGTAGAATTCGAGATTGTTTTGTATAACATAACATGACACTACAATCTATAGATATTCATACAGCTTAGATTTTGCACGAGATCGATGTTTGATTTTGTTGCAGAAGCTGCATTAAAGGCCAGAAGATATCCAGACGGTGAAAGTTTCTCGAGGCCTGCATGGCAAGATATATTAAATAAGGATAAATACTAAACCGGATAAAATAATGTGAGGCGGAAAGGTAATGAAAAATGAAGAACCATAGAGGTATCAATTCATCATAAATGGTAACTTCGAAGGTAAGAATTTGCATAGTCCGTAAACCATGTAATATCATACTCAGACTTATTATTTACAATGGCTATTAGATTATCACGAACTTTTCCTATAATCAGGAACTTGCCTATTCGTTTTCTGAAATTCAATTTTTTTCCAGCAATTAAATATGACTGAGATTCTTGTTGTGTGAATCCAGATAACTAATACAGAAGATTAGAATAAATTAATTCTATGATGTAATGTCATAGCATCTTTCCATGACACCCTTAAGCACAGTTAGTTGCAAATGATAAATCACATCAGAAATTTCAAGAAAGCAACTATGGTCATTACACATCATCTGGTCAAATATAAATAAGTAAAAATAAGCAGATGACAAACATTTTGAATGGATTAATGCCGGAGTTGCGGACACACATTATTTTCTATAGTATGACCCACAAAAATTTGTTAAGGAGACATAATAACCGGCAAGAGGATGCCTACCCGTATGTGTTAAGTGTGGACAGACGGAGTTCAATTTCCCAGATGATGACTAGATGCTTTTTGCGGTTTACAATGCCATCTTGAATAATTAGCCGACCGAAAAAACGACAAAACAACTATTTATGCTGCCTATAATTTGTATTTCGGTTTTCAATTTTAAGTTTTGAATTCAATTTTCAATTTTTTGTTTGAAGTGCACATTTTATGATGGAAGAAAACATGTTTGATTTATCATTTCGAAAAATTACTTTTCAGAACAGAAAACTGAAAAATGTGTTTGCTTTGAATTTTGTAGTATCGTGTATTTTTTATTTAGATGTTATCAACCCTTCTCCGGATACAGTAGTAGAGCCAGAATCATCATTTTGGGGGTGATTGTCACCACCTTTGGCGTTGTTTGAGTGGTTGATGCAGATCGGATGCGAGCAATTACAATAAGATGCAGAGCTAGGGCTGCACTAAGAAGTTTTTATTTTGGGCTACTATGTTGTCAAAAAAAAAAAATCACTATAAAAAAATTACTTTAAAACTCAAAAACAAAGTTTTGAAGAGTAAATTTTTTAAGAATGTATGGTTAAAAAGTAAGAAAAAAATTAAATTTATATATAGAATATTTTATTGTGACTGTATGGTTGAAAATGAATATGTAGAAAGAATGTAAGAAAAGAGGGAATTGTGATTGGCTGGCTATGGCTGCGTTTTTGAAATGGCTATGTCAAACGCTATATTCAACACATAAGCCTAACTTACTAATTATTCACCACAATGACCTTTTTAACATTAAAAGACAAAACACACCCTTCAATTCAAATCTAAAAAGCGGGATTTTTCCTCCCGGACCCCCTCGAACTCCAAACCCCCAAATCCCGGACCCCTTAGACCTCGTTAACATATAACAAATATGTTGTGATTTCTTTAGAAATTTGGATTTTTAAACATGATAAAAGATTTTTTGTTTAAATCTTTGAATATTAAAGTTAAAAACACATCATCCATCAATATTATAAGCAAAAAAAATTCGAATTTGACCAAATAATATGAAGAAACCCTGAATATGGAGATGGATGAAAATACCTTGAAGAACAAGAAATGATAAGATTTTCAAATTTTCAACGTTCAGAATAGAGGTAAAATAGGTATCTCATTCCTTTAAATTTTTTACTCTTTTTTTTTTTTTACTTAAATTTGGTCAAAGGCCTTCGTGAAAAAGGAGACCGGCGCAACTGGCCATGTACCGCCAATTCATCCTTGGCTATAGGACTAAATCCACCTCTGGTTACAACAATCATTTTCTATCG